GGTTTTGTCCGAGTGTTCATATTATGTTGACCGTTAAATAGAGAAGACAGTGGATAACTGTTAGCAAAAGGTAACTCGAAGAAATTTATGCATGGGCTCTCAATAACAGATCAAGCAAGGCCGAAATCGGTTCAGCAGAACTGGAGATAAGAAATAATATTGGCATGAAATAGGTGAAAAAAATTATTTACACATAAAAACAAAATGGTATCGTAGAAAAAATGTGTAGAGTTATTTTCTGAACCAGGGAGTAAATTTGCAAATACGGTCGACCTAAATTTATAAGCCAGTGTTACAGGATTATTGTGTCAGACCTTTACATTATTCAATTCTACCCAAACCAACAATACTATTAGTATGCGGCAAAAACACTGAATGTTTCGTTTACTCCATAAAAATCTGGAACCAATAATCCAACTAATTAAAAATAAAGGACATTTTTCACAGTTTAAGAGCAATTAGAAGCCCACCTAGGACCCTATTAAGTAAGAAACAATGTAAACTTAGATATAAATTATTTAAATTATAATACATAATGAAAGACCTTGTGACTAGTGCAGTAACAACAAGACATATGCTGGTAGCACTGGGAAATATAATCAATTTACAGTAGGTGATAAAGAAATCCAGATAGGAAAAATAACGTTTATTTCGTTAATTCTTTTTAGATTGTGTATATTGTTTCAAGAAAATTCTTGTTAAACAAACTAAATTAATGTATTTGCTAACTAAAAGAATTTTTTTTCGGTTCCATTAGGGGTTTTTTTAAATTTAAATTATTTATCCTTTTTAAAAAATAGGAACTCGGACAATATTATTTTTGTTTTACTTGTAGAGTAAAAGGTTATACTGTATTCGTTGAAAAGTATGTAACAGGTTGAAGGAAGGTTTCCTACCATATAAAGTATACATATTCTTGACCTAGCCATGCCGTCTAATTGTCCGTCTGTATGAACATCAAGATCTCAGAAACCAAAAATACTAGAGATTTGTGGATTTGACATGCAGAGTCTAGTAGTTCCTAGGCAGCTTTAATATGGAGGCACGCCCACTCTAGCTTCTGGTGTTGGCTATGCTTTTCGACAGATGGCGCCACCTAAGATTCGATTGTTTTTTAGCGGGAATACTTAGTTTCAAGTAAAAAAATCTAAAAATTCGCCAATATTGTTCTTTCTTGTTATACCTTTGCAGAGGGTATAAATATTTTGGTCAGAAGTTTGTAACGTGAAGGAGACGTTTCCGACCCCATAAAGTATATATATTCTTGATCAGGATCAATAGGGGACTCGATATAGCCATGTCCGTCTGTCCGTTTGTCTGTCCGTCTGTCTGTCCGTCCGCCTGCCCGTCCGTTTCTACGCAAACTCAGTTCTAAAGCTATCTGCATGAAACTTTCCCAAAAGTTATCTTTCTTTTGCAGGTTGTATAAAAGTCGGAACGAGACAGATCTGACGACTATATCATATAGCTCCCATAGGAACAATCGGAAAAATAAATGAAAAAAAATTATAACTTTGCTGTTTTTTAATTTTTTGTTTAGTTCTTCGACATAAAGTAATGGTTAACTATTTCAGAATTACGATTTAAATTTCATCAAAATCGGACGACTATATCATATAGCTCTCATAGAAATAAATTATATAAATATATAAAATAACTATATAATAATTGAGCTACAAATCATTATAGCTTCAATGTATTTTAACATGTATGCAAGTAAATCATAATTTTAATGTTTTAAAAAATATTTAATTTTTGCAATGGCTGCAAGTGTGTATGAACTTCGGCTTACCGAAGTTCGCTTTCTTGTTAAAGTTACTGAAGGCTCATTAATTTTATCTAATAAATATAATAAACGTAAAGAAGGTAAGGCAATAAATAATAAAATAATTGCTGGTAGAAAGTTTGTAACGCCGTGAAGAAGACCTGTCCGACTTCATAAAGTATATATACTCTTGATCAGGATCAACAGGGGAATCAATGTAGCCATGTCCGTCTGTCCATCTGACCGTCTGTCTGTTTGTAACGGACGTCTATATCCAGTAGCTCCCATAGGAACAATAGGGTGAATTCGGTTAAAATCTTCTTTTTTTTCAAGATATTTCACGCAGTATATAAGCATGAATCTATAATGAATATAAAGATGAAACTTTCCCAATTATACCTTTTATATCATAAAGCTCCCATGGAAGCAAAACGATTAAACCTTTTTACACATTTTACGTCCGTTCAAAGCATATATAGGCCGTACCCTAGGTCTCTGAATTTCTTTCTCCGCTAGTGTATCTGTTATATATTGTAGTGTTAGGTAAACTAGACAACATTGCTAAAAAAGTTCAGTTGATTACTTTTAATTGAGTGAACAAACTCACTCATTTTCAGTTGTTTACTTGTTCAGTTTTTCATTTGCTTACTTGCTCAGTTGCTTATTTGCTCACCTCAGTTGTTTAGTTGCTCATTTTTTCAGTTGTTTATTTGTTTAGTTATCAACAAGTGAACCTTGTGAGCTAAATTTTGCTCACAAGTTTCACTTGTTAACAATTTTTTTTCAAATTTTTTTATTGCTGTCTTTTTTGGCCTATATTATTTTTAACATCCCTCTTATCAAAAATTAAAAAAAAAACAGTACAATATGGTGTATCATTTAAGATTATATACATTTTTATTTAGGTAATAGTAGGAACACCTAAAAAAAGTTGAAGTTGGGCCGTCTTTTATTTGATTTACCAGAGATTGCCTCTTTGTAACCATTTCGCAAGCAACAGAAAAAAGCCTTTCGCAAGGAACAGTTGCTAGCAAACATAATCGCTGTAATGCAATGTTATACAATCGATAAAGGGATCTTCCTTTCTGTTGAGGCATTCCTCTTTAAGATATTTAGTAACTTCTCTTATAGCAGCTGCCTTATCATTAGCTGGCATAAAAACCTCTTTGAAAAGGTTGTTGTATTCCTCCAAAAACTCATTTGTCCAGAAATTTATGACTTTCTGATACCTCTTATTCATCCAGTTTTGTTCAACAACTTTGGATCCAGAATTGTTCTTTCTGCATAGAGACCATTTTCTTCCCAATCTTTGAATCGGTGGGCTTAGAATAATGTCCCTTGAGAGAGTAACATTTTGTTCAGGAGATATTTCTACATATATTTGATACAACGGTTTATGTAATGGTAACACATATTTAACTATGTGCCAGTCTTCGTGATCTAACACCAAGTCTGGTCGAAGAATTAACACGGCAACCATGACTGCCACTTTCAATGTACGAATCGCTCAAACATTTTAAATGGTAAGTTCCAACAAGTTTGCACATCTTGAACCAGCTTTAAAGCTGGCAGATTCATTTGCCGTTGAGTTTCATTTTATTAATTGTTTAGACTTTTTAAGCCTATCTGATATTTTTTTAACACGTTTTGGACAATTAAGTTTAGAGTAAGGGAGCTTAACTGCTCCCACTATATTAGCGGCGCTGTCAGACGAAATTCCAGCAATTTTATCCTCAATTTTATCCTGGCTTCTGCTAGATAATTTTTGTGTTATCTGTTCACGGTCACACTGGCTAAACTGAAACAAAATATTTAACTGTCGAAGGTATATTTATCTATTTAAACTAATAGAAACAATTGCTTATAGCTATTGATAGCTTACCAGGTTTGTCCAAAGTGTGGGCTACGACATCACAATTCTCTCTAACCATGGGTTTGTCGATTTGTTTTGAATAAGTGAGGTTTCGAACTGGGCCATGACTTTTAATGCAAACTATTAATCATTTTAGTAATCTGTTGCGCTTTTGACTTTTAAAATTCATTTTTGAATTTCACCCAAAGCAGATACTCGCAGTTTTATATCAATAACAGTCGATAGCTCAAGAAATTAAATTACAACAAGAAAGGAAGCAAGCTTCGGCAAGCCGAAGTTCATATACCCTTGCAGCTATTGCAAAAATAACATATTATTGAAAACGAGGGTTGCCACTAAATTTTTGAATCACTAGTCAAAGAACGCAGAGGAATGATGCACAAAAAAAAACGGAACAAAAAGAAATATGCAAGCAAAAACCAATAGAAGGTTAAATGTTTTTAAATTACCATTTTTAAACAGAAATACAAGAAAAATAAATATGTAAATTATAATAAAAATAAACGAATAATTAAAAATAAATGTTAATCTATCAGATTTGTCAATAGGAACAGGCTTTAAAATAGTAAGTAATAATAAGCAGCTGTAGGAATACAAAAAAAATTATTATATCAAAAATATCAATGATGCGAGAAAAGAACTAGTCAGAAAAAAAACAATTGAGCGAAAAGAGAACCTTCGGCAACTGAGCAACTGAACTAAACAAGTGAACTGGACAACTGAACAACTGAGCAAACAAACTACTGAACAATTGAACAAGTAAGCAACTGAACAAGTGAGCACTCATTCATGAACAACCCAACTCTTTTATATTGGCTTTTATTTTAAAAGTTACAAAAAAACTATTACTTTCACGAAAAAAGAAAAAACAACTTTTTTGATGTTTTCCATTGCGTTTAGAGGAGACATTTACTTTATGCCACCTCTTCCGAAATAAAATAAACACGTAAGAATTTAAATTCGAATATGTCTTCGATTTAATGTTTAAACTATTCGTGATCCAAAATGCAAGTGCTCTGGCTTGCCCTTTTAATCTTCTTTAAGCCTCTTACAGCCAGCCGAATGCAGCATCGCTCGGCTTAGATAACTTTGACACTATAATAGCGGAAAAAATGAGAACATGGCGAGAGCAAGCAATATACTTATATATATAATATTTATAAATGAATATATTGAAATACGGTAAACATAAAAAAAAGGGATAGGAAAATTAACAGTTATATATAACTGGAAAGAACATGTGTTTTCGCCCCTGCTAAAAAAAGACTGATCTAAACTGTAGTAGCTGAACTGATGAAGCAGTACGTTACATGGCTGGTAAAATATCCGACTAAGAAAAATGATTTTACTACTTTATTTTAGGAAAAACTTTTTGATAGTGACGTTTTGGAAATCGAGACACTGGGTCCCCAAGCAACCGAGGACCAGTCAGATATATCTGGGGCTCGCTTAGACGGTGATGGATTTGGAGATTCCTTTGGCCGTAAGTCAAACTATAAAAAAAACCTATTAAAATATCTAACCAAATTTAATTAAGAGCGCCGCTTTGGAATTTATTGCAATTAAGACTTAAAAAATTTAAAGTCCAATTGGGACTTTGAATTTTAAATTTTTTTTTTAAATTTTGACCAGACAAAAAGCTTTAAAATATTCAATTGGAGTTGTTGTTTTATTGTGTTTTCTGCGTCATTTTACCTGCAAACTGATTTAAAAAGGTTTTAAAGCGAAACAAATACGAATCCGTGATTCAGTACGTTTTGTTTTGGATTTAGATTTCCCAAACTGTACTATTTAGATACAATATTTGTGCAGAAAATATAATGTCCAACAATTTTTAAAAGCTATCAGCCGTAAAAGTGTCTTTCATAAGAATTTTCTTATAAGGGAGAGGGGCAATATAGGTTAAAATACATATTAATACTAATTGTTTAAAGACGATTAAAATTGCACTGCGAATCTTTAAAAAAAATCAACCAAAGATCACTAAACATAACATTTCAAACAAGTGTCCTAAAAGCCCGATCCCCCTAAAAGCAATCGTCGGTAATGCAGGCACCTTCCATCCGCGAAACATCGACAAATGCTGATTTAGTTGGAAGTTTTCTCAACCACTGAAGAGCAGTCGGTGTTTTAAGTAACACGACTGCGATATGCCCTGTTCTCATATCAGTGGACTGATTTATATTAAATATATATACATAAAATACATACATACATACATATATGTAAAACATTTTACTTCTACCACTGATTTTAATTTGTAAACAAAAACGAAATGTATGCTGAAATATTAAAAAATGACCCAATAGTAAATAACGGTCATATTCTTTTGGTACCAAGTTTGAAAAGTAGCAAAAGAGAGCCCGGAGGGCCTCCCGCTTTCAAATTTTTGAGTCCAAATTCTTTATATGAAATTACCAGTCTATATGTTGTATGATTAGTGGCTAAAGGTAGTAAGATATTAGTTATCAGTGGACAAAGTCGTATTCGGTGTATTTAAATCACCTGAAACTATTTACTGATCTCTCTGTCAGTTCTTTAAAAATGGAAAGGTGCTTCGCATAAGTGTGAAACTCAGAATGTATGTATTTTGTTGGGAAAGAAGGTGGCGGGATGTTATGTTATGTTGAAGAGGGAGCAGAAGAAAAAAATGGCACACTAGTCGGGTCTCGACTGGGAAGACTGAATTCCTTATTTTCGAACTCTTTTACCCCCATATGTTGCGTCGACACAGCATAGGCCTCAAAATGGTCGTTTGGGACTGTTATCTTAAAAGATAAAATGTCTCTAGCGTAAGAGAAGTTGAATTTTTAACTTTTACATTAACATGATTGGCTTTAGTTTTGTCTTGTAGTAAATAAGTCAGCACATCAGAAGATGGGTAAGACGGGAAAGGCGAGAACAAAATATTTGTTCCTTGGGTGAAACCACTAAAGGGTTTTCAAAACTGAAGACTGAGTTTCTGCAGAACCAACTTCAGCCGGTATTCCGGACACAATATCTCGTTATGGCGGTAACGGTAAAGCAACTTGGGTTTTCTGGGTTCACTAATTGTGAAGCCACAGCAGACAAATCAGAAGTGTGGGAAGAGTCTGGCTGCACACCCTCCGCTACGGATTGTTTGGGTTCCGTCTAGTTTGGCTCCCGATCGTAGCAGCCGGCTTCGGATCCGTGAAAGCGTTCTGCTGCTCGCCTGCTGATGGCTGCGGGGTGTTCCCCTTAGGCGGTCTACCACCAGCGTCCTTCGTCATCACTTGTGCGGCCAAAGAGAGAGAGGGAGAGAGAGAGAGCACGTTAACGTGTTGTTTTATCCATCAACGAGCTGTCTGTTAAGAACATTAAAATCCAATCGAATCAGATGGCTTGTCCGTCCTTTCGTACTTTTTGTTTGTTTTTAGGTTTTTAAGGCTTTGAAGCTCTGGTGTAATCCACGGAGGTTTGTTATGTCTTGGAGGAAGACAGTCAGGAACGCTTTCATTAAAAGAGAGAGGGAAATACCGTGAGAGAGAAATAGACGCACTTTTGTGAAGCTCCGCTTTAAACACCGAAAAACACCTTAAACTCGACTTAAAATATTAAAAACTGCTTACGGCAGCATCATTAATAAGAGTACAACACGTTAAAGTTCTTGTTGCCCGGAATAAATCGGTTTTAAGCATTAAATCGCTTCTTAATAAATCCACAATAAAGTGCAACAACAATCCAATAAAGAAACAGTGCATAGCAAAACACAAGAACACAGAGACAAAACACTCAGCACATCAAAACACTCAACACATCAAAACACTCAACCCTCTCGGCACCAACACAATAATGTCTTCAGCAGCAAAGCGAGTTAGGAAGGAAACTCACTCCGATCTGAAGGGAGTCCGTGACTCCGATGCTCAACTGCTTCACACGATCGACCTCAGATTTTCCGAGCTAAAGGAAAGTCTTGCAGGGGAGATCCGTGATGGCGAGGCACGTATAACCGGCACTCTGGAAGAAAAATTTAAGTTAATAGCAGCTGACTGCAACAAACTCACACTGAGAGTCACTCAATTGGAGAGCGAGGTGAGAGAGATGGGGATGCTGAGGCAGAGGGTCCAGGAGCTGGAGACGAAACTGTCTAAAAACTGCCAGGATCAGCGCGTTGACGAGTTGGAGGCAAAGTGGGTGGCCTTCTGCAACGCACAGGCTGCGTCTGAAGTCGCCTGTGACTTGCGTTGGCATGGGGTCCCACAAGTCCAGGGGGAAAATGTGAAAGCACTTTTTCACGCACTGTGCTTCTCGCTCAAACTGACCCCGCCGCCTAAAGTACGTACGATTTTTCGAACGCGACCGCGAAAATCGACCCGTACAGTAGTGGATCCAATTATAATTATTAAAATGGAACACGTGCACGATAAGGCGACACTGCTGCGTGCGATCGCGGCATACCGAAAAGAAAACAAAACGCAACTGAGCTTAAAGCTCATCGGCCTAGACTCAGCCAGCGTTTATATATATAAACGAACAGCTGACCAAAACAAAATATGAAATTTTCAAGCGGGCGATGCATCTCAAGAGGCTGAAGCGCCTAACAGCTGTTTTCTCTCGCCGTGGAGATATCTTCGTAAAGGAGAGAGAGGGAGGGGAGGCCATCTGCGTGCAAAGCCTGGGCGAACTGGCTCAAATGGAGATTTGCACCCCCGAGGAATTAGCTGCGCTGGAAGCTGCTAGTTCTGGGACATTAAATGATAATTCATTTCGCACCTAAGAGGCGCTTATATTTATATACCATTGTTGTGAAATTATCAGTAGTTTTATTATATTTATTTAGGATTAGTATCAGTCGCATTAATTTTATTTTGTTTCTTGGTGTGGTGTGTCTTTATGTCATAAATATTTATAGACTGCGAGCGCAGCTAATATAACAATTAAATAATTTAAAATGGGTGACAGCAACAACAATAACATAAACATAAATCCAAATCGATCAAATAGCCATGCGATGTTAAGGGTTCTCGGAGAGAAGAGAGCTGGTCTTAATGTGTGCCATATAAATGCTCAAAGCCTCACACGAAAAAATGAAGAATTTAGATACCTCTTTATCAATTCGAGTGTAGATGTTATATGTGTTTCTGAAACTTGGTTTGTTCCTAATTTATGTGATGTTTTAGTTGAATGTGATGGTTATAATTTGCATCGCTCTGACCGTGATAGTCATGGGGGTGGGGTTGCAATATATGTTAGTAAAAAGTTATGTTCCACGTTTATATGTAAACACTCAACCAGTAGTGCAATTGAATACTTATTTATAGAAATTAGATAGATGCCAAAGATATGCTGATAAGCTACTAATTGGGTGTGTATACCGACCTAACTGCCGTATTGACTATGAACAATTTTTAAACATTATTCCTGACGTGTCAATTAATTATTCAGGAGTCATTATAACAGGCGATTTTAATAGCGATATTTTAAGGGATTCCCACCTTGCAGAGGACATGAAATCGCTGGGGATGAAGTTGGTTAACTTTGTGTCCCCTACGCATTTTACCAAAACCCGCAACTCGCTTTTAGACTTATTTTTTGTGTCTAATACAGACAAAGTAGCTACATATGACCAACTTATTGTCCCATCGTTCTCAAAACATGACCTCATATACTTGACTTACGCACTTGACCACCAATACCTTGACCACCCAATAGTTTTTAGGGACTTTAGAAATATCAACTATGACCTTTTGGACTCCACCTTTAATTTGTGCAATTGGAATGACATATATTCCCTTTCCGAAGTAGACGAACAAGTTAACCTTTAACAAAACAATATTTGTTATTTATATAACTGTGTCGTACCTGTTCGTAGCAAAGTTATTCGTTTTTCTGAAAAACCATGGTTCCAAAGAAACATCAAAGACGCAATATTACAGCGTGACGGGGCGTACAATAAGTGGAGAAGGTAAAGGACACCTCAAGCTTACGCAGTGTTCAAGTCATTGAGAAAAAAAGTGACCAAATTTACTGACACCGCCAAGGCAAATTTCTATTCCCATAAATTCAACAACGCATCTTCCACTGCTCAGACATGGAAAATAATTAAAAACCTGGGAATATGCAAAGTTAAACCAAGACTTGAACAAGACATAAATGTAAATGAACTTAATAAAAAGTTCTTAAGCTGCTCAGTACCTGAAATCACTGAAAATAAATATCTGAACCCACGATTTGTATCCGAAACTGTCTGTGATATTAGATTTAGGTTTTTGTGTGTTAATCAGTGTGATGTCCTACAAAGTATACTAAGAATTAAGAGTGACGCCACTGGGTCTGACAACATAAACCCTAAATTCATAAAAATTCTGCTGCCAAAAATCCTGCCATACATAACCTATACCTTTAATACTGTACTGACAAAATCTACTTATCCGGACTGTTGGAAAGCGGCAAAAATAATTCCGATTCCTAAATCAAATAATGAGTACAGACCCATCTCCATTTTACCATACCTATCAAAGG